TTCTTAGTTTTTTAAGTTCTTAAGAGATTAAAGATCACTATAAATATAAGAAGTTAGTGAGAGTCTTTACCCTAGGTCTCGTGACCGTAGCTCTTGTGTAACTAGCTATTTCCGTGTAATAGGCTTAATAACCTCTCATCCACCATCAGATACCAGCGCGATGATGTTTTGCACTTCCTGCATTATAAAGCGCGGTTTTTCTTATTAATCTAGCTTGATTTACCCTTATACTTTATAAGGAAGGGGCGAACTCTTGCGATGAAGGCTGCTTTTTGGGAGCTGGCTTGGCATACAGCGCTCTCTACGCCATACCAGTGTAGCCCGAGGGCAACCGTCATCATACTCATGCTCCCGCTTCTGCTGCTCCGTTCTGGCTTAATGCTGGGGAACGGGGGTCAGCATGCTTTGGTAGATTATGATGACCCCGACTCAGACTATCGCTCTAGCATTACGCTAATTGACGTCCCGGTTAGCACCAGACCTGCTGGATTGCCTACCGACCCCGTGGGCCTCCTCGTGGGCAAATAGAGCAATCGCTATTGCTTTAATGATGGCTACCACACCTCTCACCACCTAAACCCGCGTCGGCATTGGCGTGAACATCCCGTCGCGTTTATGAGGAGCAAGGAACTCTACGCAGCGCAAGAGGCTCTTGTGTTTCATAAGATTGACTACCTTATGAGTACAGTACGACTACTTATGAAGGACTATCGCACTCTTGCCAGGTGTATGATACCCATTGGGGAGGAACAAATGTCGATGAGCATGGACGATCGAATGGCGCTGCTAAGAAGCTATACCCGGCAGTTTACAGAGGAAGAAATTCTAGACAAGTTTAAAGGAAAATAACTATAGCAGCATGTATTTGCTAAGAATAAAGGGAGGGAGCATGCAGTGTATACATCCCAGGTAGATAGAGTATTTACATTCCTTGAGCCACTGTGAAGGTGCCCATACCCATTAGCAGACATTCCTAGCGGACCAAGAGAGCGATGCCTGGCCAGCCGGAGCCAGCGGTCGAGTACGGTCAGACCAAGCACTGCAGGCGGTACCTCCACCGAGGATGGGGAAAATACTCTACTAGGCAAGTGGTAGGAGAAATATACCGACATTTCCATATTAGATTTTATACTACGTTGCAATATAAAATATAAACCATGTCAGAATTGTTCAATGCATACAAATACAAGGAACCCTGTAACTGTGATAAATGCACTACAGCTAATGCTCTAAATATGAGTAGACGCAAGAAGTAGGACAAAGGCAAAGCGTAAGCGTTGAACAATAATGCTTTAAATCTATCTAATAAACTGTCTATTGGCAAGAGCTTTAAAATGATCATATAGACTGAATTTTGGTAGAGGATCAACACACAAAAAGTTCGAGTCACATAACCAGGCAACAGTAGTACTGCACCAAATACCGAGCCTGTGTGACTAACAGGAGCAATTTGAGCAGATGCAATGTCTAATCGAAGGCGCTCTCAAGGACATCAAGGACGGTAAAGTTGTAACCCGTAGGCTCCAGGGCCTCATCCCGAGAAACAAACTTGCCGCCCTGAACCTTGAGAGAAACCTGGGTTCTTCTGGGGTTTCCCTTGCTATCCATTATAGGAGCAGTGACTGTGCATGGGGTGGTGAGCTTGTAGTTGATGCTATATTTGGCCTCATCTGCCCACCACACATTCTCGACAAACTCCTTGGGCAGAACTGGGCCAGTAGGCGAGCCGTCCTTGTTTGTCATGGTGAAGTATTTGTCACCGATGGCGTCCCATGCGTCGTCCTGCTTGCGGACGGCGGGAAGAGAAAGGTTGCCCTTGAGAAGCTTATTCTCTGCCAAGATATTGTACGCAGGAAATTCGGTCGGGAACCAGTCCTTTCCGACACGAAGCTTCCAGCAAACGGGGTCGGCCATTGGGATAAGGGGGCAATGTCCCTTGAGCGTCGCCATGTAAGTCCAGGTCTGAACCGAGCAGTGGGTTTTTTTGGGGCATTCACGAGTCCTGCCAACGTCCTTTCGGTATTCCTTTTGGTTGCTAGACTCGCCGCTCTTTCCGTTAGAGTTCGTGTTGCTATGTTGTATACCCAGGGAAGCACCAAAACCGCCGAAACCAAGGTTCACAGAGCTCTCGAAGCCAAAAGTAGTAGAGTCTTCTATACTCCAGCCAGCCGTTGTGGTATCAACGGTGGCGACAGATTCTGCAATATCCATCGTCTCGGGTCCCACGCTTGAAATGTCCTCGTGGGCACTAATGGCGATCTGGACCTCGTCAACCTTGAATTGAACGCGGTCGTAGAGGCATCCCCAGGCAGGGAACATTCTTGGGGGAATGTCGATATACGGGTCTGGCTGGCTTTCGACAAAGTTCTTCATGAGCGCCATCTCATCTTTCGCCTTCTGTACATCTTGAACCATGCGGCCAAGCTCCAAACCATCAAAACTGGCAAGAGTGGGAATAACGCTAGGGGGGGCTGCAGCGTAGGCGAGAACAGCGAAGAGAGGGGAGAGCAGTGCAAATTCGGAAACCATTTTGATCAGGCTTGAGGACTCGACCAGTCCCTGGTAGTTTTTGTTTGATAGAAAGACGTCTGAAGACAAGGAGAGTTGGTGACGATGAATTCTACTTGTTGGGATGAGATGTCGGCATTAATATACGCAATTGGTATATGGAGACTCACACTTTGTCCGAGTCGATCAGTTTTGTCGCACCAGAGTTGATAATCTTAACTCACGCCACGCCCCACGCTTAACTTGGCATAAATAAGTACTACGTAGTCAATATCAGATAAGTAAGGGATTAAGGCATCTTCCGTGCTAGACTTGGAGCGGCGTTTGCTTATCAGGCCAAAGCAGAGGAAACTTTAGACTATTAACTGCACGCTACACGTCGATATCATGCGTTTTACAATTTCTTGCGCCATTTTTGCCTAACTAAGAAGGACTTTCCTATACTAAGACTAGATATCCGTGTATTGCGTAACTTCCCGTTCTCTCCTCCAATACATTCCATGTACATCTGCTGTGGCCTTGAACCCTGTCATTATTGCAGTCCATTGTCTTAAAATGGTTTCCCGGAATAGAATTATCAAAGGTTTAGGGTAGATTAGCTGGGAGGTCCTCTAGACCGGATAAAACATGGTCTTCTGGCAAGATAAATGGAGAAAACGGGAGAAATGATAATCTTGTCAAAAAAGAAGAAAAAAATACCACAGTTAACTATAATGACTCACAACGTGATACAAGCATCGAAGCAATTATATCTGCAAACGATTGGCGATTACAAAGCGTTGAGCCAAAATATCCCCAGACAAGAAGCTCCAGAGCTCTAGGACCCCAGTTCCTGTTGGCGACTGATTAATACTGATCTTAATCTTTAGGCTGTAACCATGACTTTTCCTGGTCTTTATACCCTGCTATATCCCAACCGGTATGGCCCGGGGAGAGGAGGGGGATATTTACCCCTACAACTGGTACTTACTATGGGCATATCAAAGCTAAAGGAAGAGAAGGGAATCGATTAGGACGAGGGACTCCGTAACCTTAACGGAACGAATCCTACTTTCTAGTGATGGTAAACACTAGCCAGGTATATCAAGGAAGTTATATACCTCAGCTTCGTGTAGGCGTTGAGGGGGTACCCATGTCATGGCCGACCCCTAACACTCTCAGATATAGTGCGCAGCCCATGATGCCTGCAAGACGGAGTTTATTGGAATAAATGATCGAAATAATAGATTATTTTGGGTCCCGGATCCGAACTTCTCGTCACGCACAGTGATTTGTGCCGCGCTGGATTAGAAGTGCTTTATATCTGCATTTAGCTGCTGCAGTTGAAGTCTACTAACCCTCTATTTACGAGCATCTTTTGAGAACCAAGACGCAGCGGAATCACCACTATGCGTTTCTTGAGAGCTTTTGTTTCGGCCCTCGCGGTTGCGGTCACAGCAGAGCCTGTGCCTCGCCATTCGGGTCTTAAACCCCTTGTGCGTCGCGATGAGACCGACGCTATGACCAGGGAGACCCTATTGGAGGCTATGAAAGATGCCAGCGCGAACATGGCTCTGCGTGAGGAGCCATTCACCCTGATTGTTCAGGGTGGTGCCGTGAATGTTATACTCGGTAACCGACAGGCTACCGGGGATATCGATTACATCGCGACCACCTATTCCCCCGACGAACCCGAAAGGTATGGAGAAGAAGTCCTTGAGAAGCTCAAGCCAGGATGGAGATGGGCCCATATGAGCTCCAACAAGAGGTGCAAACCGATCCCGTCAAAATGGACCGACAATACCATCTCGGCGTTTTTTATCAAGAAAGCCGCCCTTTGGGAAAAGTACAAGTCGGAAGCTGAAGCACAAGATACTGTCCTCTCCGTAGAGGGAATGGATGAGGATGGGACGGGCATCAAGTTCATCGCCGCGCCGTGGGACTGGCAGTTTGTGGGCAAGATGGTATCCTCAGGGGCCGATGGGAAGCCAAGAAAGCCGTATGACTTTGATGATGCCAAGTTTTACTTGCAGAAGTGGCTTGAAAAGAATCAGAAGCAATCTGTCAGTTATAATGACATGAAGAGTTGGTTCTCAGCTTGGGGAAAGGAGGAACCGTCGACCCTAGGTCAATTAGCTAGAGAGGTTAACCAAAAGGCTGGGACTGAGTTGATTACGGGGATATCTGATGAGTAATGATGATGAAGGCAGAATCACTTCTGCTTTTGCCACACAGCACGGCTGCTTAGGCAATATAGACAAAATGAGAGACTCGCAAGCGCATATATAAAGACTGGAATTGTACGATAACCGAATTACTTGTGAGGACTCTGCTGCATGTCCTAGAGGCAGATAACTAGTATTGCCTCGAATAAGCGACTTCATCTTGATAAGCTCCGTGCTCGGCGGCATCAGTTTGCCAATCTGCTCGATTTACGCCACTAGATTTCTCCCACGATTTAATGCATCCGGAAAATGTCGTTGAAGATAAAATAGCTGTCGCCGTCCGGTAGAAGCTGGAATGACTGAACAAACTTGATGGCAGGCTCCGTCTCTTCTCTCTATGCATCAATTAGTAGTTGCCAACATAATGGCTTCAGGTCCGTCGGAACTTACCAGCAAGACGCCCTTGACAAGGACCATGACTCCTCCCTCATCGTTCGACGGCATCGCGTCGAATCCCTGGATATGGTGCAGGACTTTTGGCAAGGGCAAATTCTAAAGGAGCAACCAACTGAATCAGCATCCCTGCCATGTAGAACATACTACTCGACATACGGTGAGCTTTTCGGTGATTGATGTGGCGCCGTGACATGGAGTGGTGTCCCACAGCATCATCGAGTTGTCTCTCTTCACAGACAATGGTTAGCTGAGGAGTTCATAGCCCGACATCTGGGGTCCAACACTTACGTAGAACTTGTACACTGCGGGCCGGTCATTATCAAACACCTGATAGTAGTACTCGATAAACGACCCTGCATCGAATAAGACTTCTAGACTCAAAATTGGTGGAAGAGTGTTGAGGCAGCTACCCACTCGCATTGTCCTCTAAATCTTATCGGTATCAGAGTTGGAGTCTAGGATTCCGTTGTCATTCCACCCCGTCCCAATGCTTACCATCCGTAGTCAGCCACTCGTCAGCCATTATTTGACTATATTGAAGGCAGTTCTGAAGAGGCGTGTTATTCGAAAGGGCTGTGATTTGCGCAGTCGGTGCAGTGTGGGATATGGAAGATGAGTGCGCGGTTGAGTGCATGATGTACCGAGGTCACCGGTGACCGAAGGACTTTTAAACTTGGTGCATGACGGGCTTTTACTGACGTCACTGGAATCCAGGTTTCATAACGATGGAGAGTTTCTAATTGGAAGCAAGCATTAGACCAAGAGTACGCGTGAAACAATATTGGCCCCCAACTCCAGTGTAAGGGGGCTTTGCTTTGACTCACCGCATGGACATCTTAGTAGAAGGGACGCCTCGGTCTCTTTCGTTATACATATCGACATACGTGAGGGCAATTCTTGGTGAATTAGTAATATCGTAGGGCGGGTCGACGAATATCGCTGAGTTTGAATGAGCGATATTAAACTCCGGCCCCTGTCTTCTTTACCCACGACACGGCAGGGGGGGCTATATAGCCTACAAAAAGTAATTATTATTAAAAGAGGCTGGGGTGACAGAAATCTTTGTTTCTTATATGTTCATTGACCTCTCTAGGGGCCTGCTACTCCATATCTCTCCATGAATGGCAGAACGGAGCGCCCCGAAGCATGAACCTAGACAGCCTTCAAGAGCGGGTAGCGGCGCGGAGGTGCAGAGAACGGCATGGTGTGATAATTAATATTCATGCCAAGACAGCCCAGTGTCTACCCGAATGCAACGCCGTGGTGCACAACCCCAGCATAATACGAGGCGTTGAGCGGGTAAGCCAGGCCCCCAAGTCCATAGAACATATGCGACTTCAGTTTGCTTTGGGCAGACAGTGGCGATATGATTGACAAGCGAGCGAGCATGAGCCCCCCTCTTCCCTATAAAATGAAGCAATATAGCAAGACATATCCGTGGCCTTACGAAAAAAACGAGGCAATCGATAGTAGCCACAAGAATGCAGTATTAATGTGCATAAAGATATGAAGTATATTCGCTTATCCATAAGCAATATTTTTATTATTTTACTATCGCCTGGCTAGCCCCCGGCCCTTGGAATTCACTCTTTATGATAGTTTTGGCAACCCCATGACATATTGATACTACAAGGTGAGGTGGCAGGTTTAGACCTGAATAGAAAGACCGCGTCCATGTCCCACTTGCCGATGGCTCTACATAAACTCTTTTCTCGCCACCTAGGCTAGCGTTTCCGCATTCCGCTATACACCTCACGTCTTCTTTCCTTGAAGCCGCACATAGCAGGATGAAAACACCACATTGTGTAGCCCTCATGGGCTTCACCTATGCTGCCACAACTTTGGCATCCTCAGGCGCGCCAGAATCTTCCATCCGTCGGGTTAAAAGTCAAATCGGCCAACTTGGGGACATAACAAACGAACTAGATGGAGACAAAGCGAGCACTTTCTTCGTCGGCGATTTCCGAGACCCTACAGTAGTGTTTAGAGAAGGCCTTCAACCAGGTTTCGATACAGGTCTCGACGATGCTGCCGTTGCCAATACACCTGAATACGTATTAGTATCACCGTCGCACGGAGCATCTATCGACAGATCATTTGCCCAACAGGAATTCGAGGCGCAAACCGGCTTTGTCTATCAAGTCACCCTGCATGGTCTGCCTCGGGGACACTGGCTTCACAATACGAACCACAATGATGCCGATGAGACAGCAGATTTGTTTGTCGTGCCTGGAGCTATTCCTCCTAGAAACATTCAAGGCGCATACATCTACCACAAAGATGGCTCGGGGCTTCCTGTAAAAACCAAATGGATACCGAACCAAAACCCCTCAGATACTCCCCGCGCTAGGAAGAGGCAGACCAAAAGGCCCTGTGTCCCGATTGACCCCAATGACCTTGATCCGGAGGATGATGACAGCCCGGTCATAAATGAGGAAGGGGAGGAGGAAGAGCCGAAGGACCCCCGTTGTTTTACTAACTACCATGGCAGTCCTAAAGATCGGGCGAGAGATAAGAAGAAGAGAAAGAAGCCGGGATCATCTTGGAGGCGCCGCAATTGTCTTGACTAGCTGGATGCGAGACGCAAAAGCGAATTGGGGTGCCTATACTAGTGAAGACAAAGATAAAGGCCTCTGGCAAACCTGAACGAACAGTTATTTCTTTTCCGTAGTTTAAGGAATTGAGTTCAATTTGGGTAAATCCATAGTATACTAGTCGCCTCGGATAGCAAGCACATTCATTTCTAGCGACGTGTGACCGCGTAAGAAGGTTGGGTCCTTTGTATAATTGCTTCAATTTCCCTCCAAATAAGACTCTAATTTCTATAACTGTTGTCACGCGGATAAGTGACATAACCTTCCGCAACCGGCCAATAAATCCTGATGCAGCCGGGGCACAAAGGATGCATCGCGACGGACCACAAGGACGCCAAGAAGTGATATCAGGCTTTCAAGAATAAAAGCCCAAGACAGCTCTAATATCACGAAAAAGAGCGCGCCCTGATCGGATAGCAATTATACCCCCTTATACTCCGTTGACATTTAACCTAGATGCCTCAGTCATCTAGGTCTGGTTACACACACCTACAATATCACGTGTGCATACGGATCGAAGGTCGGTTCCCCAGATTGAATTCTCCAAGGACCATTTAAACCCAAAAGACAACTATTAGATTGAAATTGAAGTTATCTACAAGCCCTCTACGAACCCTTGTAAGAACTATCCACCCCCCTTTATTATTCGCTATTCATGGCTGCAAATGATTGCAAAGTATAATTCTTGGTGCCCAATACTTTGTACACAGCCTAAACTAGAACAAGTTGACAAGACAATCCATCTGATAATCCACATCCTTCACCTTCACTGTTGAGTCATTGGCATTGCCAGTTGCTTCAGTGGACCAGCCAACCGGTGCATATTACAACAATTCCTTTTTCCTCCCCAAAATCCCCCACTCAGCAACGGAATTTCGGGTGCTGGCTCGTTTTCTTGCCTATAAATCTCCAAGGGGGATCGCAGCCATTGCCACCAGCATTATAGTTGTCCCGGTTGTACTCATAGATCCATCCTACAGTTGTAAGCCATACATTGAGAATGCCAAGTGTCAAAAGACGCAGGGGGCTTACCATTAGCACATTGGCAAACCGTAGGTACGTGGCAATGAGGATCAGCACTTTAAAGCGTTAACTTCATACCATGGGCTTATGCATAATTGCATCACTTCTCTTACAATGGGAAGCAGGCGCTAGCGGGTGACCCGCGGGGCGAGATCTGTTCATCTGCGGCTTCCTGGATAGGAGACGCCGTGACCGACGCTGCAAGAGCCGCTATGAAAGGGAGAAAATGGGAGGATTTCATCGTGAAAATAAGGCATAACAAACAGGTGTGTCGGCTGATGAACTGGACAGGCTCGTAGATGCACAGGATGTAAAGCCGTGTTTATATACTTGTGAGCTCACTTGGCGAATTCGCCCTTGAAAGCCCTCAGAGCATGCGAGTTCAAGGCTGAGTCCATTCATAACTTGCGGGCGGGCTCACTTGCTGAACCGTGTTTGAAACCATTCAAAGCAGGCGAGTCCAAGGCCGAAACCCCTCGTGGGGCCCAAGTGAATTTTCTTCTTGTGCATTCAACGTATACTGGCCGTCCCTAACGTCTCATTGATATATTTACTCCCGGCATGATGTGGAGTGTCGCCGCTGTACTTGCACGACTCCTTCCGCGCTGCAAACCGAAGCCAAGCTCTACAATTTTCATTGCCACGCATGCAGATTCCTTGGTTGGGTTTGAATCCATCTGGAGTCTCGAATTTAGACAATTTCCAATTTCTAAAATTACCGCTTTGGTCTAATGTCGGTATACCGTCGATCTGTAACAACAAAGGCTGAAGAACATGGCCGTGCACAGACACGCCTCAAAGTCATTGACGTTACCTGTTCCTTTGACTCCGTAAAAAAAAAAATTTTAGGCATGGATAATAATAGCAACCGGCCGTAATACAAAGCCCATTGTTCCGGCCTTTCAATTTGGGAGGTCTTGTCAACGGAACATGATGGGGTCCGATCGTGTCATAAAAGAACGCGCTCTCATTAAACAGCAACTATACCGCTTATATTTCCGTCGACAGATTGCTTAGAAATTGGAGCTCATTTCAGGTTATTGTTCTAGGTGTGGATCCCCTGATTTTTCATAGCTAGACGGCAGCAGCAGGCGCTCTAACCGATTCAACAGCTCCCGTTGTCGCTGTGCGTGACGCACCAAGTTGACCCTATAGGCCAATACTACGTCGTAATCACAAGGCCGCAAACTGTCTGGTGTATGTTTCGGCCTAAAAGCGGCAACTTTCAACTCCCAAACGTAACCGCTAAGCTTTGGCCAAATCACACATGGGGAATACGCACTTCACCTCAGAGCCAACACTCTTTTCAACTTGCCAAGGAGCCGAGTTAGTGTAGAGGATCGTTAGGATTCATGGTGCCGATGTTCCTCCACTCTACAAAGAACATGAAGATTTCGTCCACAGAATGCAGATGGGCTCCGTGTGGGAATTAGCTCTTCGTTAGACTTGATTTAGTTGATTACTTGTACTATATGTGAAATTGAGGCAGGAAAAATAAGAGCTCAAGGAAATGTAGCTTCAATATAATCTCTTTATTTATATATTCGTAACCAGTAAGTTAGAAATGACAACTACACACCATAGTACAAAGCTATACGCCGCTTTAGTTGCACATGTCTGCTAACCTAATAGTGATCCTGCAGGAACTTACGTCATGGCTGTTCCCAACACCCTCCGTTCCGATATTCCTATAGTGATACCCTGTATGGTAGCATCTACAACTAGGTCAAGTATTGAAGGCACTTAATTCCCTCATACAAGATATGTCTTAGCTAGCCTCTATCTGCCTGAAGGTTAGCTAAATTCGAAGCAGCTGGATTGTGTATTGTCCCTCGTCGCTACTTTTTCAATATCTTCTGGCTACAATGTGTGCTATTGCTCATAAATCCGGAGCCGGGGAGCTGAATCCGAACAAGGCATCTTTCCAGCATATATACAGTGAACCGACACCACTTGGCTGCTACAAAACTCTGACGCCCCTAGGCTACGGCGACTAACATGACTAGTTCGCCCAGCTTATCTACACAAATAAACCAAACCTTCGCCTTGGCGTCAGGAGGGTCATTGATATCGGATGCCTGTGCGGATCCACGGCAATTGCCTACGCACAAGGTGCTCGGTGGACTCAGTCGATTCAGCCCCATGCTATTAGCCATCTCGAGATCGCTGGTGTGGACATCAGCGAGAATGCGCTCCAGTTTGGCCTAAAGGTACATACATATAACTTCTAGATACACCGTCCCTCCGCTACTGTACCACCGCAGCCGAAGAATCCAGGAATAAATAGATGTTGATAACGACCAGGCTGGCATCTTCTCCAAGGTCATAAACCAAGACCTTAACGGGACACTGTCCGGGGATTTCTACCATGCCCTCGATAATGCCGATACCCTTCTCTGCATGATGTGCCTCTCCTACGTTAGAGACGGCGTATTTTCCTCAGTCCTGCGGCGGTTTGTCCAAAACGGGGGCAAATTTGCAATATACAGCACCATTCCCATGTTCGACGACCGGTACTACTCGCCCAAGGCACTCGGCATCGACGTCAAGTGAAGCAAGTCGGTCGTTCTTCGGCACCGAGCTCTAACAGGCGACGAAGTCAAGATGGACGGTAGTGTGGCAGACCCCTTTGTTAGAGTTTATCTAGTCGAATTCTGAGATGAGGTCAACCTACACTAAAAAGCTCATGCTTCCTATTTGGATTTAGGAGGGTCTATTCAAAAGAAACAATAGCATAATAGGCCCGTGGGAGAATCAACAAATACGATGTGTTTGACGGGGTACCGAACCTAGTTCCCATAAGATCTACAACTACCAGTTACGTAAATAACATTTTCGACCGCAAGTGGGGTATTCCCAGGATAACCATTTTCATCCGCACGGGTGAGGATGCGGGAGAGACTCATGAAAGCTGCTTTGCTATCTAGGCAACTAGGCTGGTGGCTTGTATTACTGTGACTTGCCTTCGAGTGGTCCAGGGAGCCCAGGTCTCCCTCAGCCGTCAGGAGGATGATTGGATATATCACCAGAGACGGAAAGTTCACGTCCTTATTTGCCGTGACAACCCCGAGCCCCCGCCTAAGTATGATGACAACTCTGATGTAACCCCGCCAACTGTCTGGAACAGAAATGTCAAGGACGAGTACTGTCTCTTGGAACATACGTTGGAACAAATCAAGGAAGCTTGCGACCACACTTTGCTAATATATCTGATAGCCCCCAACAATAGCGGCCACCGCCTCCCAAGACGTTATGTATATGAAGGTCTTGTCAGAAGATGGATTGGCCGTCGGGAGGTGGACGGGATGGCGACAACGGCGGCACAAAAGGTGGCGGATTCACATGGTGAGATTGCTTGATCCCCAGATAAGAGTAGCCTTGTTGACAGATTCGCGAACGATACCTGTAGGTCCGAAGGCGCACCATCTCCAACGTGCAGGGCATCGCGTACCAAGTCTAAAGGGGACGCCACCAGACTATTATGAGTCAGTCTCAGCGTTCCGACTCTTGCGCAGACCAACATCTGGGATTGCACCGGCCAATATGTAACGGCTGAGGGGGCCGTGCCGCCTGCATTACCTGTAGCTACTAACCCCTTTCCGATTCTCACTGGAACCATAGACCCATCAAATGATGCGGAAACAACAACAACAACATCGACATGTTGTGACGACAGGGCGGGAAGGGGGCCTGTAGCGTAGTCATGGCGTGTGCGCCGTTTCTCGCGGCTTGAGTAACTACCAAGGAGCAAGTGTCTCGCTACGATCCGACACATATCTTTATCAGCACTAGTTACAGTACAAATGCGACAAAATAGCACAAACCGAAGGACTCCTTGCCGTTCATGAGACGCATACACTAGCTCTAGCTCCAGACTCGGCTCTTGTAGGGCTTATTCGGCGAGTCAATAACGAAAATCAAGCAACAGCAGCATGCGCGCAATCTCGTCGTCTAGTCAAGGACCATGTCCCATCACAGGTGCAACGTCCAAGCGCTTCCTTGAGCGTCCACTGGTATAGGAAGCTTAGTAGCATAGTTTCCTGTTTGCTCCAGCATTAGTAGGCCACCAGCTATTCTCCTACTGCTTCTCCGAGCAGATTGATGCACCAAAGAGCCCGTTCGTCGGCAAAGGGTCGTACACCACCCTAAAATTTTGCTACACACCACAATCCGGCGGAGAATGTCTTACTATAAAGACACCTCCCCAATCCTGCGGTATGTTTTCTTCGGCTGGTGCCTATTGTTGGCGTAACCAGCTCATGAGGCTGGCTATTTGTTACCTCGTCACCAATTGATTTTGGCTAATCGAAATGTTTGAATAGTCGGTGTCACTTTGGAATGGAATGACAGAGCGTCAACGATTCTTCTCAGCGCAGCCGCTGGTATCTGCTAGTTCTTTTAGTAAGACATCTCCTCAAAGCAGTCGAATGATTGCGTCCCGGCTACTTCTTATGGTTTGCAAACATGAATGATACAGAAACTAAGAACCTATCAGTGATTATAATTGCGCCGGCGCGTCCTTTCAAACCTCTTCTCCATGCAACGATCGTTTGGACGAGTTCGATGGTGATCGTTTTGACAACGTGATTAGTTCCATTCGTTGCGACAACACTAGCACAGAAACTCGGATTGAAAAGCCACCAGTTATTGAAATAACCAAGCCGGATGCCTGCATCGCCAAGCCTCGCCCGTTGGCTGAGGTCCTTTGGGTCCTGATAGACAACATTGATAGGGAGGATCCAGGTGTTCTCTTTGGCAGCATCCATGCTACCGACGACTTGGGCCGTCAAGTAATCTACAATGTTGAGAAGTCTGATTCTGTGTCTGTCGAGCCGCGAGACCAAATCACGCTACGTACATCTCGGCCGCTTGCGGCGGATGGGGATTTCGTCATCGACCTGGATCTCTGGGACAGGGACAGGGACGCGTCTCCGCACGATGAGATTAGCCGGGGCCAAATTTCATGGAAAGTCTACGACCCGACGAACGAGTACGACACTCCCATTCAAACGGAGGTTGACCGCAAATACGGCAAGGCAACCGTGTACTATGTCATGATGAGCAGTGCTACAAAGGCGGTAAGCGAGATAATCATGCTCAACGGAGACGGAGAGAAACCCGCCGATGTCTTTGGGAGAGTTAGAGCATCCAGCCGGTTTGTCCAGCGCGCCCTGCTTAACAGAGAGGGCGGCGATAGCGTTGAAGTATACCCCAATACAGCTATCCCATTATCGAGGGCTACAATGGCCGTGCCGATTCATGACAGCCTCAAAATTCATGTGAATTTTTGGGACCATGACTCTGAATAATCTCCTAAGGACCAGATAGCGTATGGAGTCCTAGGATTCCGTCCACAAGTATCGGGCTCAGAAAAAATAATAGCTGAAGGAGAGTACGGCAACGTTGAAGTGTCAGCTACCTGGGGAGGAGACCGGCCTCACGGATGCTAATCCATCCCCGTGCGTATTTGAGGCGTATCCATAACCACATTCAACCATGAGCCGGATACCATAACTTGGCGATATTCTACGCCACCCTTTACGCGTTGGGTCAGTAGGCTGCAAGGAGTAGAATCACCCAAAGACTGGGAGTCAGTCCGTGGGCCAAGCAATCATTACAACTATTACATTTGTTATCTTGGACCCGTGGACAATCTGTTTCCGATTTGTTCAGGACTATTGGTTTATCAATGAGAGTTCCGTTCAGAAATCTGTCGTTTCCTGTGCCGCAAATCCATCATCTTCACCTTCATACCATCTAGGGGAGACTTATAAAATACATGACTACAATAAAATAGCGCATTTAGCACCAAACCCTGGAGACTTATCACTAGAGAGACGACTACATAATTTAGACCAGTCTGGACGCCCTGGCAGGAGAGGTCGGCAACGATGGAATCGTTTGTGGGATGCTTCGCTGACTTCTGAGCCATAAAAGCCTAGCACATAATTAGGGGAGACGGTGCGCAAGTGCAGAGTCTGGTGTCTCACAGAACTAGCACAGCCTCCTCTTCGGATATTGATCCACAAGACCTATACTTCTAATTGACATGTGCCCCTGCAGGATATCCCTGTACTTAGAAACAAGGACGGCCGGAAGGCCCGAACTGCCCGGAGCAGGTCGACGGCGACGACGGCGACCGTCCCTTGTAGCCCTTCAATGTTACCTCTCAGGACTTGGACATGCCAACACTTCATTATCGACTTATTGCGGCGCGATCTACAGCCATGATGGACACTGTTCCTGCCACCGCTGAGCTGGCGGATCCACGGCACATCACATCGCCGAGGCGAGAAGTGTCACGACGGTTATCGGGTTTGACCGTTCATCTGTGGAGCAAAAAGATCCAGCGATAGCAGCCCTGGGCCGAGTACCCCGATGTCCGGCTTATAAGTGTGCCCCTTCATCTCTCTCTCTTTCCCTTTCTGTCTAAGGCCTCCAACAAGAAGGTGCTTAAGAATAGATGTCTCATACGGAGGAATTACTTTTAGGCCATCGAATGCAGCAAGACAAGACGTGGGCTTTCAAAGCTTAGCCTCCGGTCTACGAATAACTATCTGCCGGAGGCTCGGCTGGGATGCAGCTTCATGGAGCACTCAGAGAATGGGGCGCTCCACGGCTATCAAAGATGTCTTTAATCGAAAACTTGATTCTAATTTTCCCATAAGCAGTTCTTTGAAAATCAGCAGGGAGCCGAATGACGCGTGTCCATTGTAGTTCAGTACTTGGTCAACGGTTGAAGCAAAGCCTACGTCGCATAGCTGCTCTGTTGCACCTCGTTCATATCATATCCAGGCAACCTGGTTACTTGGGCCAAAGTGAGTGGCTCTGTCTCACATTCAAATCCCAAAGATAGATCCAAATGCCGTTTAAATGCATTGAATGAGAATGGTCTAGTTAGTCCCGTTGTTACGTTCTACCATATGGAATACAGCATTACCGGCACAACCAAGATTATCCACCAGTAGCTAGCCTGACAAGTCGGTGAGCTCTTCTTCTATTACCTTTGGCTGGTTGTGTCGTTCTTTTGTCAACTTTGCAATTGCAATTAGTTTGGTCAGTAGGCATTAAACGTGATATATCGCCGGGTATTCAAGGTGAGTTCAAAATAAAGGCCGTATTATTACCTTGAATCAAGGAGAAGAACTTTGTTCATATACAAGCTGCCAGCACTGCACAACGGAGGATCGCATCTCCCTCTATATTGCTCCTGGCCTAGGACATGCCCGTCGGTTTTCCTAGGCAAGGCATTAAATCGCGTCATGCAACTGGTTTGAATAGTACCAGACTTCTCATGTTTCATGTTATTGACTACCTTGGTGTTTTTATGCATTTAGTAACCCACTACTTGTAAGACTTTTACTGCGATGGCAGTGGGCAGGATTGAAACAAATCCCGTGAATAAAGGGAGCTTGAATGGAGTTGCAATTAGAATAAGCTAAGTCTCATCATTACATGTAATATGATATGAACAGAAAGTAAAATACCGTAATATTAGTATAGCTTTACGTATCAATTGATATTTTATTTAAAAATTCATAACAAGTAAATAGGTACCTACCCTACAAGCATCTAGGTACCTAGGTACTTGGTCCACGCAAGTGCGGCTGTGGCTGAGGCTGTGGCTAAATTTAGAATGTGGCAAGTTTTTATCCCTTTCTATCGCGTACCTCCCTGTTATTATTATACACACGGTCAGAACATTGTCTTCCACGGTTCGCAGTCTTCACTCATTTTTCCCCTTGCGAATGACGCAGCTCACCTTCTTTCACTCGTTTTCACCTCCGCCGACGTGCTTGTTACGCCTGTGTTCGAGTTTGAGCCTCAATTGCCCGGTATCCTCTCCTTTCCCCATCTATCCAGGGGCTGCCATGTCAGACAAGAAATCCGACGACATGCTCCCCATGTCCAGTGGTCATGGGAATGGCGTCGCCAACGGCCGCACCAGCGGCGCCAACAAGCAGCCCTTTCCAAGCTTTACGCCCGCCCAGGCAAAGACGGATGCGCTCAAGGGTCTGGGATTGTCCATGGCATCGCTGGATAATAGTCGTGGCGCCTCCGTCTTTGCGTATTGTCTGAGTTCCATGAGCATGACCATTGTGAATAAGTATGTTGTGTCAGGGTCCAATTGGAACATGAATTTGTTGTATCTTGCTGTTCAGGTATGCTTATATTTCATGGAGTATGTGCAAGCTATAGCTGATCATGTCGACGAGTAGTCCATTGTTGGAACACTGGCCATCATCATGTGCAAGCAGGCTGGCATGGTCAAAGACTTGGGCCCATTTGACTCGCAAAAGGCAAAGACTTGTATGTCCCCTCCCGGTCCAACTTTTGCATTTTTATTTTATTTTATTTCTTTTTCGCGGCACTGACAAATCTTGCAGGGTTTCCTATTGCTCTGCTTCTCGTTGCCATGATTTACACCGGTAACAAGGCCCTGCAATATCTCTCCGTTCCTGTCTACACCATCTTCAAGAATTTGACTATTATTGTCATTGCCTACGGAGAGGTTCTCTGGTTCGGGAGTAGCCTCACTCCGTTGACCCTCGTTTCCTTCATCATGATGGTGTTTAGTTCGGTTGTCGCTGCGTGGGCGGATGCCAAGAGTGCTTCCACGGCTGCCGCCATAACCACCATGAACCTGGGTTACGGATGGATGGGCATCAATGTCTTTTGTGCCGCCATGTATGCTCTTAGCATGCGCAAGATCATCAAGAAGACAGGCTTTAACAACTGGGAAGGTTGGTCATTTGCACTCCCCGTTCAGGCATCAGCCCACTAACAATTACAGTCATGTACTACAACAACCTCCTTACCATTCCTGTCCTCATCGTCTCATCTCTCCTTGTCGAGGATTGGTCATCCACCAACCTCAACAGCAACTTCCCCGCCAATTCTCGCTACAGTATGTGTATGGGCATGGTCTACTCGGGTCTCGGTGCCATATTCATCTCCTATTCGACCGCGTGGTGTATCCGCGCCACTTCTTCCACCACGTACGCCATGGTTGGCGCGCTCAATAAGTTACCTGTTGCAATCTTGGGCATTATTTTCTTCGCTGCGCCCGTTACGTTTGGTAGTGTCTCGGCAATTATCCTAGGCTTCGTGAGCGGCATTGTGTATACTGTGGCTAAGCTTCAGAAGGGCAAGGAGAAGCCTCAGTCTGCGCTGCCACTCACCAACAAGCGATAGATGGACTCCCCGAGTACGTTTGTTACGACTGATGTCGGGAACCTATCACCCAAATCTATGGGCTCGTTGAGCCTGTTTTGAGAGCTGGCTGCACGTAAAGGTTCATTCTTGCTGGTGTTGCTGCAAAATTTGTGCATTTCAAAGGCCTGGATATGGTCGACTATTTGGCGTTGTACGGCTACAGAACGGAACAGAGAATACGTTCATCGCGGTTATTCGGTAGAACCAAAGTGTTTCAAACATTAATTATTGGGTGGCCCTCATGACTCATGATAAGGGACTACACAGGCATTCACTTCTTGTGCGAATATGAGTTGGTTTAGAATAGAGCAGTTCAGTTAAGACAACGACTTACGATTGCATCAACGTATTCGCGCCTGGGCGGTTTCGAGGTCGAACATCCAACTTTGGCAAACTGCGATAGTGCAGATTAAAACTTACTTTTGCTAAACGTCTGCACCATCCAGCAGAACCATCCCTACCCAAGCCAAACACACCTCTAGAGGAGCCAGTTCCGGCATCAACTGTGAAACTAACCGGGTTACTGATTTCAATCATTCCTTAGGTAGGCACTCATTCTGGGAAATGCATCGTTTCGTACGGAGTAGTTACTCCGTAGACTGTCACGGTGAGAGAAGGAAAAGCGGGTCGCGTCGGCAAAATACCGGCGTCTCGAAGCCATCTCTTCTGCCTTGCGTTCAACAACAAACAGCTTCCCATCCATCAACGTCGGGAAAATTGACCGCTCGCCATGTCGATGTTCCGAGCGAAGAAGCTCGACCTGGGCTGCTTCGTCAAGGCCCGGACAATTCGGGACCACACGAAGCGCAAGGTCTTTGAGCAGTTCGAGACGGAGAGGTACGCAGCATCTCCTAACCGCACCCTTCAACAGCGACCATCGACAAACTCTCTACGCGGCGCAATTGATCTATGCAACAACTGGGCACAACTAGACACTGACTGGTAGTAGACAAGCTCTGCGATACATCATCCGCAACACGACCCTCTCCCCTCGTGTCCGTGCCGAAGCCCAGCTGCAACTCACCCAAATGCACGCCTATACCCGGCCCACGCAGATTCGCAATAGATGTATCATGGGAGGCCAAGGCCGTGGCGTACTGAGCGATTTCAAAATGACGAGGGTAAGTTCCATGTCGAAGGAGCTTCGTTGATGCGAAAAGATGGGAGCGAAGTGCTAATGTTGGACAGTTCAACTTTAGAATGCAGGCAATGGCAGGAAACTTGCCGGGTGTGAAGCGAGCAAGCTGGTAAAAAGGACACCTGCTGGGTAGCTCTTTGTTAAAACGTTGTACAATATGAATGGAACGGCGACCGGATAACCTGGACTGATGTTGGAGCTGGTGGAGTGTACAAGTTAGAGACCAAGCGTATTTTTGCACCATGAATTTATCTCCTCCGACACCTACTCATATATGTGATCTGAATCTGGGGCGATGCCAGCCGTTCACTTCGCCAGGTTCATTGCTTGAGCCGACTTTGCTACATTATCCTGGGTGCGCACTCGCAGTTGAGCCCAAGCAGTCTGGATTGTGTTGACAGCACCAGACCAGTGGACCTGCAGGATTGCTGCGCCCGGCACATGAAAAGAAAAGTGGGTCCCAGAGTCTCGACATCTAGCCAGCCTCGCCACTCTCCATCGACTTTCTCCAACAACCACTCATACAACATCTACGAATCCACGACTCGAACAAGAAAAAAAAAAGAGTCATCATGGGTGGCGGCGATCTGAACCTCAAGAAATCTTTCCATCCAACGCTACGGCGAAATCAGCAAGCCGTCTACGAGGAAGAACAAAAGGCCCTTGCCGAGCGCAAGCGCACCCAACAGCGCATCAATGAAATCAAAGAAGAGCGTGCAAAGGAGGAGCTGCAGCGGCAGCTCGAGGCTGCCGGCGGCAAGAAGAGAGTAGACCGGGTCGACTGGATGTACCAAGGCCCTACTGATGGTCAAGTTGGTACCAGCGAAGAGACCGAAGCGTATCTCCTGGGCAAGAGGCGAATCGACAACCTAATCAAGGGAACAGAACACAAGAAGCTTGAAAAGAGCGCAGGGGAGGAAAGTTTTATAGCACTTCAGAATGCGAACAGTGCAAGAGATACGGCATCCAAGATTCGAGACGATCCTTTACTTGCCATCAAGCGCCAGGAACAAGCGGCTTACGAAGCTATGATGAACGACCCCATCAGAAGGCGACAGTTACTGGCCTCCATGGGAATGGAGGATGAAAAGAAGAAGGAAAGGTCGCGGGACAAGGAGCATAGGCACAGACGGAAGCACCGACGACACCGAAGCAGGAGCAGGGACGCTGAGGATGATGAGAGGCGACATAAGCGACGGCACAGATCGTATTCACGGTCTCGGAGCCCCAGACGCCAGCGCGATGATGGCGACGATGAAGAGCGAAGACGAAGACACCGAAGACGAAGAGATTCCGGCGCAGATCGAAGCCCACGGCGGGCACGAGATGATTTAGCAGAAAGAGAGAGAAGATATGAGAGCAGTCACAGAAGAAGTTCTTATCAACACGGCGATGATAGACGAAGGCATGACAGTCCAAACTCAGGTGATGATGGACTGCGACGCCGCAGCCCGTCTCTAGACCGACGTGATGGGAGGCGCAGCGATTATTATACCCGGCGCGACGACCATGACAACAGACGTCGGGATCACAACAGAGATGACAATTGGAGGGGGTCACGGAATGGAAACGGGCCTCGTCATAACGGCAACGGACACGGATATGGCAACGACAGAGCAAGGAACCAGCTTCGAGGCAATGACGAAGATGGAGAGGCAGAAAAAGCTCGCAAACTGGCAGCTATGCAGTCGGCGGCATCTGACATGGACCTAGACCGCGAAAAGCGCCTCGCTGTTCTGAAACTAGAGGAACGAGCGGCACAGGAAGCGGACGATAGAGCGAGAGAGCGAGGAGGTGAACGCGGCTTTGTCAATGGGCTTCACAAGCAGGCGGGCAAGCTCGATTTGGGCGAGAGAATGGGACGAAATCGACAAGGATATCAGCGGGATGATGATTAGAAACGGGTCAAGGGGGAAGATTTTTCAAGATCAAGATCGCGTATCGGCCGGTTCCGGGGACTTGAGAGGACAGAGGTGGGAGGTTGCTGGGTAAATGACCGGCCACTGCTGCATATATTATTACTATTGCGAGAGACCTTGGGCTGTGAAAGGAATGTTCTTGTGTGGCTGGGATGTGGACTGGTGCAGATTTGTTTGGTGCCAGGCTGCGTGTTTCAGTGAGTGACTTTTTGTCTGGATTGTAGATAAATCAGACGTGGAGGGCGGCTATGAAGCTAGCACACCAGACAGTCAACTGGTTAGAGTTTCCACGTCCAACATTGAATGTCTGCAAGTGCCTGGCTTGGAAACACGTGGCGGGCCCATGGCTCAAGTGATTAGCGGGTGTGGTGTGCTGAGATATAGGGGCGCAGGGGATCAAGAGAGCACATGCACCAGGCGGCTCTGCAGCACGCCGGTGCTCGCGAGGTTGAACTTTCGACTCGAGCAAGCTTTGCCTGGGTGCATGTGGCGGCGGGCTACCACACTTTCCATGCGAATGATGCCGACGGCTGGATGTTGGTCAATGACGGACCCGGCAAATGAACATTGAACCCACTTGTGCGGCTGCTGGCGCTGAAGGCCATTTGCTGATGCATGGCATTAATCGTCAAGTGCAACGGCTTGTGGCTGAATATCGACTCGACGGCGCTGCATGGTCATTTGCCAGGCGCATTCGTAGCCGATTTCTTTTGTTCCTCCTGGCATCCTGACATTTTGAGCCTCAACTCTCTCCTCTTCCTCGTCCCATTCCCATTTCCATTCCCCAACGTCGAGTTCCTCGTTCCCTCTCCGCCGACCAGCCTCTGGGCCTCGACGCACCGCCGACAATCCCTTCCTTCTGCGGCCCCCGCAATACCGCTACTCCTCCGTGTCTCTTCTTTAGCTGCCGATAGCTTTGAGTCCGCCCCGTCTCGTCCTTCCTGCGCCGCCAGAATCCTCACCTCAACAAGAAGTCGCGCGCTGCCTCACCAGCCAATTCTGCGCTCTTCTTCCACTCCCGACATTGCCAATTGAACGACCCGCCTCAGAATGCCTCTCTGCGGTGGATCCAAGACGGTTCAGCGCAAGCTGGTGCTGCTGTATGTGCTTGCCCCCATTGCCCCATGATCGGCGACGCGAGGCAACCGAGTCGAGACAAACGTTGGTACCGATGAATGCTAACAGATCGTTATGACAGAGGTGACGGTGCCTGCGGTAAGACGTCGCTGCTCAATGTCTTTACAAGAGGGTGCGTATTGATACCCGACTCACGATGCCCTTGCGAAACTCTGGAAATCAGCATGAGGGCGAACTCGACGACTAACGCACACGCCTAGTTACTTTCCCACGGTATACGAGCCTACAGTCTTTGAAAACTACGTCCACGGTATGGGTTGCTTCCAAAAATGCATCCTTTCATGCACACGCCACGCGGCGGTTGGTCGTTTTGGCTCGAGTCGCGAGTTTGCGCGCTGACAATTGCGAACAGACATCTTTGTAGATAATGTGCACATCGAGCTTTCGCTTTGGGATACCGCTGGCCAAGAAGAATTCGACCGATTGCGCTCGCTATCATATGGTAACGACCCCCGTCCCGCCAGGACGACCTGAATCTTGAAAGGGTCGGAAACAAACCACCCCCTGGACTAACATTTCTCCAGATGACACCGACCTGATTATGCTCTGCTACTCGGTCGACAGCAAGGATTCCCTCGAAAACGTTGAATCGAAATGGGTCGGAGAAATCACCGACAACTGCCCCGGCGTCAAGCTGGTCCTGGTCGCGCTCAAGTGCGATCTCCGCGAAGGCGGCGGTGACGACGACGAAGCCGACGAAGCAGCCGCATCCGCCGCCGCGCCTGCAGACGGAAATGCCAACTCGGTGCGACCCAAGGGACCTCTAATCGAATACGACAAGGGCCTGGAGGTGGCCAAGCGAATAGGAGCCTCACGGTACCTCGAATGCTCCGCCATGAAGAACCGCGGCGTCAACGAGGCCTTTACCGAGGCAGCCCGTGTCGCTCTGAGTGTCAAGAAGGAGAGAGAGGAGAACAAGTGCACAGTAATGTGACGGGCCGAAACCTGCGAAAAAAAAAACCCCCCGACCTCCCCAAATAAATGGAAAATATCTAAAAAAACACGCACCATGATCCAAATACCCCCCTGGCGATTTCGTCTTCTTCTCTAATTTCCACGCCACCTTTTTCTCATGGCGGATATCAAAACCAGTTGCCCAAAATTTATTTTGTTTTCAAACGTTCGTTCGACTCTAATATCCCCGCCGCTACCAGACTGATTTTCGCTGTCGTTTCTTTTTTCTTGTTCAAGGGATGCTTTTTGTAACTGGTCATTGATGTATCCCCATCTTTGTACATATCGCTGCGGTGGAACATGTATCACGGACGACGCAGGACGTGAGACGGAAAGGATGGCCAGTATCTTCTTCTCGTATGTTTTTTATTAATTCCCCCCATATCTGTTTTTCTGTCCCTCGTTTCTGGGTCAGACGGGTCACATTAGCTCTGGCGTACCTTTTGGGCTGTTAGCATGGAGGGATGGTGCGTTTGCATGGGCCACCGGCTAGAAATACTGAATTTGTGTCATTGGTCGTTGCTGTGTATGGCTGAGCCTGTTTATCAATGTCGCATCTCGTGGGTTTCGCTCTGATGGTTCCCCTTGGGACATCCTCTTGCCGTGATGCCTTGCGCCGGATGTATCCGTGCTTAGTGACATCTCCCGACCCATCGAGCTGCCACGGTCCCTGTAGTTTCCTGGTAGAGTCACGATTCTCTTTTGATGAAGTACTGGTTCTACCGCCACCTTCTTGGCCATCTGCGTAGTTCCCTCTCCCGGCACTGGCCATGAAACCAAAGGTCCCGGGATACAACATACTTATTAGTCCTCGAGGGGGTTGGCTGTTGGCTGTGTGAGGGCTAGCCACAGCATCGATGTGCACACTACCCTGTAGCAAACTTGACGTTATGCCGTTAATTCAACGCATCAAACAGTTTCCTACGGACACGTTTATGGTGCAACCTAATTTACAGATAGATATGCGAGAACCAGTGCCGACTAGAAAGTGTTGCTTCCAGCTTGGGCGATTATGCTCTTGACGCTGGATTCCTTGCATTGTATTGTATTTGATGTTATGCAAGTCGTGTCTTAGCGCGCCTTTTTTTTTTTTCTTCGTATGTTACACTATTGCACTGATGCATTTCTACACATATACTTTGCTGAGGTCAATTCTCTTTCATAGTTTGATTATTATGCCTCTATTTAGATCTGGCTGCGACCACTCGCTAGAGGCGCATGCCCTCGAGCACATCGGAAGGAAACACAGGATCCCCCACCGGCGGAACGACTGTTCAAAACCTACCCATACCCGAGCAACTTACAGCACCGCGACGCCTCGTCTGCGTGCAAAATCGTGTCGGGGTGACGCTTCACGGTCCTGAGTAGGCGAATTCCAGATATGATGCTATGTGCGTTGTGATTTCCATGTGCAGGCGATGCAAGAATGCGGTCGGGAATCGCATTCCGTGGTCATGTTACGGAGTATGCTTGTAAATGTCAATACCGGACGCAATGACGACATTCAGGCCCGCCTGCTCGTGTCTCACTTCAGTGCTTTTGCTCCCAAAACAGCCGCTATCGGATGTGATGCTTTGCTGTGATTTGCGCGGCGGGAGGCGAAAGGCGAGAAAAGGGATTTGGCACAAGCAAGGTGCTTGGCTATCGCGCGGACAGCTCTGTGGTATGGTTAGTGGGAACTCGACAATGGGGTAAGACAGCGTGGCCCTCCAAGACCGGGAACAATGTTTTTTGTTGTCTTGGCTCCAATCGACCGCGGGGGATCATGTTGCGGCCCCAATTCTGATTACTGTTTAGGCGAGATCAAGGCCAATGCACCGCCAAGAGAAACGGATGCTTGGGTGGACAAGAAGGTTCCTTGCTTGAGAAATGGCGAGTTGACATGAATTGAACAATCGACAGACTCGAGTCGAGTCTAGAAAGCCAGTTTGATATGCTGGTGGCACAGACCTCCCTCCGTAGAGCATGTTTTTAGCTGTGTCCGTGACTTTCTCAGGCTGTTGATCCGGCATTCTCTGAATGAACATGTGAGGATGTTCGGTACTGCGTATCGTAGTGCTCGTCCACCATCCATCTCTTCCCCTGGCACCGGTCAGTTTGTCTCATGAGTGGTGGTTGGTCGTCGTCTTTCAAACCCCTGACACTAATGCACCAAGGCCGGGTCCGGAAGCCACAATGGTGCAGATATCATCTTGCATGGCGGTACCATCCATACCTGAGCGCCCAGGGGGAAAAAAGGGGATAACAATCATTGATTCTACAAAGTTGAGGGACAAGGTTACGCGATTTGGTGGGTGGATGCACTAGTTGACCTTGCCGGGCTCCTATCGCTCCTTCCCTGGTTCCAACTCAGTGCTGCCATTCGTTGCCGCAAGCATCTAGAGGTATCCGCTTGCCTCTGCCCCTGAGCCAGCCAGTAAGAATCTTCCTTCCATGTCACCTCAACATTTGAATCACACGCATTCTGTCTCACGAACAGGCAAATTCAACATGGGGTGGTCCAGCTTTGGCCGACTCCCAGTGTCACCCCCTGACGCCACGGGTAAAATTGCCCCTAGAATGGCAATGGGCATTGTTCCTTGGCACAATACCACACCGCTCCCAGTTTGCGAGCTGCCCCGGCTGCCAAAATGCGAGATACCAAATGCCGCTCTGTTGTGACATCGACTGTCTGCAACCAACCTGTACCTGACAAGATTACAGCCGGCCTCGTCTCACCATGAAGGCCTGTTGACTCTGGAACCTGTTGTTGCCATCGCCGTTCCTTCGTTATCATTTGTCTATTGACAACGTTCACTCCTTTGCCCCCGTGCCTCGACCTGACGTTCCTTTGACAACACGCTGCACGCCTTCAGCAGATTCATACGACAGCATTGTCACGAATTGCCCTTCCACTCCTTCTCTTGACTAAAAATACGCCCGCGCCTGCGTGTCTTATTCCAATTGACCTGGGTTCGAGCAGTAGATTCTATCATTTCTTGCAACAACACAACACTACAAACCTCTGCTGGAACAGAGGAATACGATCACTAAACGACAACACAATTCATCGAGGAGTTGCTCAAGAGCATTGGTGTGTTTCGGGCCGTCACTCCCCGCGAGGCACACACACATACACGTCACACGAGTCCATCATAGACGACAATATGCTCTACAATTCAATTGTTGCCGCAACGGCCCTTCTTGGCCTGGCGGCTGCTCAGGTACATACTGATTGCAATCCCATGGAACGCGATTGTCCAGCAAATCCAGCATTCGGGACCGATCATAATTTCAATTTCAACGTCACTCCGAGTAGCGACCTCTGGGAAACCACTGCCGGTATTGTCACATACGATGCTAAAACTGGTGCGGCCTTCACCATCAACAAACAAGGTGATTCGCCAACTATACGCACCAAGTTCTACTTCTTTTTTGGCCGCACGGAAATCCACCTCAAGGTCGCGCCTGGCCGAGGCATCGTCAGTTCCATGATGTGGCTTAGCGACGACCTCGATGAGGTTGATTGGGAGTTCTTGGGCTCTAATAAGACTTTCGCCACATCCAACTACTTTGGCAAGGGCCGCCAGGATTTCAAGAACGGTGGTTCTCACCCCATGACCGGTATGCAGGACGACTATCATAACTATACCACCGTATGGACTAGGGATACTATCGAGTGGTTCATCGACGGCAACCATGTCCGCACCCTGAATTCCAAAGATGCCAACAACACGCACAACTATCCTCAGACACCCATGCGTATGAGCGTTGGTATCTGGGCCGGCGGTGACCCGTCTCTTCCCGAGGGGACTCGTCAGTGGGCCGGCGGTGATACAGACTATGCAAACGGGCCTTACACCATGTATCTCAAGAGCGCCCAGGTCACCGATTACAGCAGCGGCAAAGAATATACTTATGGCGATCGCTCCGGTAGCTGGGAAAGCATCAAGATTGCGAGCGGCAACTCTACCGCTCTTGACGCGTTGAATAAGCAGCCCGACAAGTCCATGAGCGACAAATGGAACGACCTTCCCACGGGAGCCAAGGCTGGAGTTTATGCTGGAGGAGCTGCGGTCGGTGCCTTGGCCCTGGGATCTCTGCTTTGGTACTATATCCGACAGCGTCGCATTGGAGCCGCAGAGGCCAAGGCTGCAGCCCTACGTGAGGAAGAGGACCGACGCGAGAACGCACGATTCCTAAAGGATGGCATCAATCCCGACGGTTTCACTGACCATGGGCAAGAGTACAATGCCAGGGAGCTTCGTGCCGGTGGTATGGCTGACGAAAACTCGTACCACGTTCCCGAATCGAGTCCCTTTGACGGCCCCTTTGATGAAAAGTCTCGCCTTGGAAGCAGCGCAAGCAACGTGAGCACCCTCGGTGGTGCTGCTGGTGCTGGTGCCGTGGCCGGCGGAGCCACGGGAGCTGCAGGAGCCATGCGAGGCCAGCCTGGCCGAACTGCCAGTCCTGCCCCTTCTAATCATGGTTTTGATTTTGGTGTTCCTCCCAGCCCTGGTCATCCATCACGGTCTCCGAGCCCCGGAATGCCTCCCAGCTCTCCTCGTCAACACCAGATGCGTAGCGGCTCAGCTCCCGACCCATACTCACGAACGGGATCTCCTGGGCCCCATCAGCAAGGTTATGGACTGCAGAGAATGCAGAGTCCAGGAGCCATGGGACCCCAAAGAAGCTTTACCGACAACCAACAGCCAGGCTACGGATATCGGGGGCCTACGTCACCTCGAGGAAACAATGGCTGGTAGAACGGGACCTGCTGCTTTTAACGACGACAAAACCAAGCCGAAACGTAGTTGCTTTCGTCAGGCCAGTCTGATACCTTTGGTACAGGGGCGAATTTTTTGTGTGTGTCTATGTTTTATTGTAATTTCCCACCTTTTCTTTTTCTCAGCCCCTTTTTGTCCTTGCAGGCGGAGTCGGCCATTTTCTATAGGCGTCAACGGCGTATTTCAACCTCGACTGGTGGCTGAGGCCCCTCGTCATGAGGTAGATAGACATTGGATCAGAAGATCAAAAGATACCTATTTGTTCAGTTTTCAGGGCCGTTTGGGGTTCCTTGGTGATGACGTCTTTGCCTTTATTCTTTTGCGACAGGTAGTGCCGTTCTTTGTTCAATTTTGCTTCGTCAGTCGCCATGTCACGTCAAAGACAGCCAGTCACTTGACCCGTCGTGGACTGAGTTGAATGAAACAATGACTGAATGGCAGCATCAGGTGACAGTTGACTACGATGTATAAAAGTGCGCCGCGGTCTGCGAGAATAGTTCTGGCGTCTGTAAACTTATCCACGATCCATCCTCATTTACTCGCGCAAGCGCGATACCTACTATTTCGCCAAATCCGACAACTTTGTCTCTCTACATTTCTGCCCTCGGGCAACAAACCATTACCAGAATTCTCGCCAAGGCCGACGTCACCATCGTGAGTAACGAGGCCGTAAAAGCACCTGCCGAACCATCACATGCAGCAGCAGAGATCATGGACAACCAAGGCGAAAAGGCAAACCACTTCTTTATTCATGCCATGCCCGTAGGGGCATCGACCGGAAAGAAAGACGCCAAGCTGCGTGCAGCAGCCACCAAGGTTGTAAACATCGGACGAGTGGCTCAATCAATCAATCACGACTCCAGAAGGGATTTTGAAGCGCAGCAGGATAAAGAAAGGAGTTAACCAAACCCATCATTGTCGGGATGACTGACGCTCAACCCAAATCGCAAACATGATGCTGCTGTCGATGCAGATTTTGCGTCACCTGGGGCCTCGTTGGTTGGGGCTGGACCCGAGCCGACGCCCTTTGCTTTCGCTTTCGGCCTCGTGCCTACGTGTTTAACGGAGTGTGAGTGCCTGGGGGGGGGGCCACGGCCTATTTCTGTCGCTACTGTGTGTATTTTGATTTAGCGGTGTGTTCTTTTCGACGGTCCTTGGATACATCGACTGCCGATGACGACGTGTTTTCTGCTCGGGGGGGTGCTGGGCGCTGACTTGAGATGGGGGCTTTGGATTTTCATTTGTCTGCTGGTAACAGGTGACTGTCTTTACTGAGCGTACTCTCGTTGAATACATGGCTGGGTTATGATGCTGGGACCTTTGTCGACGTTTCGTGTTTTGAGCAGCATGTGCAGATTGATGTGCGGCGCGGGCTGTTTAGGATATTGTGTCGGTGTAGCCGGCTTGTTGCTATTCTGCACGAGTCACAGTACGGCCGTGGTCACTCGGCTGGCTTCTCCTGATGGTCAACGGCTATTCCCAAGCCCGATTTTATGATCTGTAAAACGATACTAGTCTTCTGTCTTTCCTTGTTTAACCGCCATAGAATGGGGGCATCGTCCCCAAGACTTCCTTGCTGGACACGTGATTCAGATGGATGGCATGGCCGACAAGGAAGATGCTCGTAGGGTGAGACGAAACAAGCACATCGGGAGTTTGCAACGTTGGTGCGATCTACCGGCACCAACCTTTTTTCTTTGCGGAGGACCCCTCGTCCTGGATGCCAGCGATGGGACGAACAGAGAGAGGGTGGAGATTGGCGAGACAATTGCAAACATGTCCTCTTCGTCTTGCGTACGTGGTCTCGGACAAAATCCCGACTTTGCGTTTGCGGCATGTGGCGCTGGGATTGTCCTCAGCCTCGGGGTCCGTGGCTACGGAGATTTAATTTTGATGTTTGTGTTTATGGGATATACCCCCCCTTTTTCGTGATTGAACGCCCGGGTGCCATGATGAATCGAGTCGTTGGATCTGCATTGTTTGCTGTTTGACGGGAGCATCGCATCTGAAACATGATGAGCCTCAACCCCGTCTGTTACAGGTGTTGCGTGACGGTCACGCGACGAAATCCATCTACACATCAAAAACTCGGCTGCGCAAAAGCATGGCAACACGGGGTTTGCGCCAGGCAAACACATCAGCGATATTGTCGGCTGTTTTCTTGATGCGCCACGTACCCGAGACAGGTGAAGCCTCCAGACTCAAAAAATTCACCCCAATCCGCAAACGGCCGCACGCCATCTGGGAGCCGCGAGTCAGACTCCCTCACTACTTTCAGCACCTCCATGTACGAAACCATGCACGGAAGACATAAACTCGGGCCATGCCAAGATCCATCTCAATGTACTCGAGATCCCGGGCAACGCAAACGCTGCAATGGCGGTCCTACCCTAGGTTTGCCTCGTCGTGCTTCAACAAGACCGTAATGACTAGGCGTAGCACACCATACGGTATCCCACAATGCCCAGCCACCTAATATCAGTCCCTCAATCTCGACCAAAGTACTCATCAATGTATATATACCTATATATATACACATACATGGAATGTTTCATCTGTCGAAGCTGTCCAACAATCCGAGGCATCCACCACGTCCCAGAACAAACCCAACCACCGCAATTCATCTCATCAACCTTCCCTACACTCCCTCAACCCCCTCCTCTGCCTACCATCGTGGTCAAAGTTCCCGTCGTCCAACCAGGCCTCGAAGCCCTTCTTCACGCGCGCCCACTCCCCGTCCGTGATGCTGAACCACGCCGTGTCCCTCTCTCGGCCCTTGATGACCATGTGCTTTCTAAACACGCCCTCAAACGTGAACCCCAGCCTCTCGGCGGCCCTCAAGCTCGCCTCGTTCAACTTGTTGGCCTTCCACTCGACGCGCAGGTAGCCCAGGTCCTCAAACGCATGCCTGATGAGCAGGTAAAACGCCTCGGTGGCCTGCCGCGTCCGCTGCAGCGCCGCGCCGAGGATGACGCCGCCAATCTCGAGGCGGCGGTGCGGCGGCACCACGGCGAGGTAGCACATGATGCCCACGGGCTCCGAGCGCGGGCTCGACGCCGGCCCAGACAGAACCGTGTAGTAGAGTCTGTCCGAGGACGTGTCCCGGCTCCATTCGTCAATCTCCCGCTGGCAGTCGGCGAGCGTGGGAAAGCCGCCCGTGAGCATGTACGTCCACCGCGCGTAGTTCTCCGGCCCGCCTAGGCTCCTGAAAAGGCCTGCTGCGTGGCCTGCTTCGAGCGGAACGAGCGACGTTGTCTGGCCGTGAAGCGGCTCGTGAGGTGGACGCACGGCCTCGCGCGGCGATACCAATGGACCTACTGGGAGTGACATGGTGGCTCTGATTCTGTGACTCTCTGGCTCTTTGGTTTCCCTTTTCCCGTGTAAAGAAAAAGGGAAAAAAAAAAAAGAGATGATATGCTGGTCTTTAGTGGTTTCGGTTCCGATCCAGTTGCAAGTCTCTGTGGTCGTAACCCGTTCCGCCCGTAACCTTGCGTGACTTCCCATGACCGGCATCGGTGCCAAAAGGGCGCGGAACCTTGGGCCGAATTGACAATCACAACAGTTGATCCCCTCCGTCTTGATGACAACATGCATGACACGAAATCTTGGTCCGGCACAATCGCTCACAAGCCCCATGATACAAATCTCGTACATATGCTCCAAATTCTAATTCAATGCCGATTCTATGATAATTGCTACAAGCCACCGCAGTGGCACATGCTCTCGCCTTGTACCTTTTCCGCATTACCTCACGCGTCATTCTTCACCTTCAACACTAAAGCAGACCCAACAATGTAGTCAACAATTCCCTTGACGCCAAATCAAAATAACTAATACAAGTCTTCGCTGAGTAAATGCCAGTTTCATCATCTGGACATGTCGCCTCTTCGTGCCGTTCCGCCAGGAGCAGCATAAATCTGTCTCATCGTCTTGAAAAATATTCATTATCAAAAAATCTGCTCCATGCTTGTGCATACGTAATGATGTCGTTTGGCTTGTCGCGACTGGCCGCAATGGATGGCTGTACTGGCCACCGCCGATTCGTTGTCGCTGATTTGTCCCGGTTCTGCGCTTCTGACGAGTCGTTTCCTCCGATTTTTAAAATATAAAGGAAACCACAAAAATCAGAGTGGTATAGAGGGTCGACATGGTCAACTCAAATTCGAACCATGCAGCCTGTCCGCCAAAAGCAATCTTCTTGCTTTTAGGCGTAGGGTGAGCAACCATGGTCTTAGGGTCGCGGTCGAGTAGCTGCTCGCGCTCGGGCATCTGCGGCGGGTCAATGGCGTAAGCAATTGGAGTCCACAGAGAGCTGCAGATGAAGACGAAAGTCAACGGCGGCCAAAATGCGTGCGTCACCAGGCAGAGCAAAAGCGAACGAGTGCTGTCTGTGCGAACGAAGCATCGGTACGAGGTCAGTACGACGCCCACTAGTGTGAAGTAAACAAAGACCAGGTGGAATATTCCCATGTAGTTGATGAGAATAGTCCAGACGCGGCGAAACATATTCTTCTTGAGTGCGGGATCACGCTCGTTCAGAGCCGAGGACAGAGAACCAGTGGGCTTGAAAGCCTGAACCTGACCTCCCAGCCACTTGGGCAGCATGAAGGAACGAATGAGGCACAGGGCAATGTAAGGCGACATCCAAAGCTGGTACCGGGAACCACGCTGGCCGGTGTGGTAGCCTGCAGGGATAAAGAGAACAAACTCGCACAGGCGGTTGCTGATAGTTGTAGCGAAGCAAGCGCGAATGAGCCAACGGAGCTGCTCCTCAGTGGCGTAGGCGACCAGAGGTTTACCCATGACCAGGATGATGGGAATGGCAAACAGGGAAATCGAGACAAGAATAGTGTACAAGCTGAGCATGGCGTAGAGAAATCCCGAGAATCGTTGAGCAAACGTCATCTGGCGAATCTTCTCACCCCACAAGCAAAATTTGAGCTTGAAGGCTGTGTCCACAGTTCCGATGGCCCAGCGGGTGCGCTGCTTCAAGTGACTACCAAAATCTTCGGGGACGGTTCCAAACTGAAGGGGTTCGTGAATAAAGGCCGTCTTCCAGCCCTTACCGAGCATGAGTGTGGAAGTAGCAACATCTTCAGCCAATGATCCAAGAGGGAAGTTGCCAATTTCATCGAGCGCTTCACGTCGCACAACATAACCAGAGCCGGTGCACCAGGCAACACCAAGCGCATCCTTGATAGGTTCGATGACATGAACGAAGAAGTCCAGACTTTGAGAGAGCGGGTCGGAGGGGGGCGTGTTGTAGAACAGCTGGGGAGGGCATGCAAGAGCCATCTTGTCATCAATGAGGAGGTGCGGGAGAATAGCTCGGAGCCAGTCACGCTCGGGAATCTACATCTTTGTTAGACTGTTATGCACAAGAGGAAATACCGCATAACTCAAACATACCATATCGGCATCCAACGCTGCCATGAACTGCCCAGCACCACCAGGAAGCAAATGAGTTTGCTCGAGACCGTAATTGAGATTTCCAGCCTTGAAGTGGTGGGGCTGTCCGGGAATTTTCACACGAGCCATGTAGTAGACGTTGGGGTAGGACATGGCCAGCCGGGAAACAGCGGCCTCGAGAGTCTCTGACTTGCCGTCATCCAAGACAATGACACGGAACTTGTCGTAAGGATAGTCGACATCGCATGCGCCTCGAACAGTGTCCATGACCAGGTCGTCATCCTCGCCACAGCAAGTGACAAAGACGTCCACGGTAGGGACGTCGTAACCTCTCAACCGCAGCTTGGGTCTATATCGCTTCTTCATCGACATCATGGTCCAGCTGTTGTGCATCAGTGAAGGAATGGCGACAGCGATTTCCACAGCGATGAAGATCCAAGCGGCAGAGTATGTCGTCTGAAACGCGTTCTGGGCCCAAACAACGCATGCGATACGCAGAGCCAAATAGGCTATATAGAAACCGGTGTTGGCGAAGGTCAAGAGGGGAACCAGCCTGAACAAATGCCGTCTCCAGCCTTTCCAGATGTCGCTGTCATCTCGCTTGTGCACGATATCAATGCTCTCACGGTCAACCCAGTCCTTACCTCCAGCTGGCGGCTGAGCTTGCTTAAGGAGTCCAGTGAGGCTAATGTGACTTTGGTTCTGTTTGCCCATTTTATTAGTACACAACAGAAAAGAGAGGCAAGAGAGAAAAAAAATATAAAACCAAGGGCGGATATTGTAGTTTCTTACCATGGGCGTTGACGGGCCAGAGTCATTGTGGAATGGAACACTATACCGTGGTGCAGCGGTCGAATCGACCGGTGTCTGTTGCCCAGTCCGCCATGAGCGAACGCTAGATCTGGATTCAGCACCGTCCACTAGTGTCTGAGATTCTGAACGACCCGCAATCGAAGGCGGCCAGCCTGGCGAAGGTGATGCATAATCATCCGAATAAAACGAGTTCGGCTGTGAGTATGCGTTTGATGCTGGAACTCTGGGGGTACCTCTGGCGGGCCTAGGAGGAAACTCTTCTATGGAAGGCTCCTGTTGCTCGTAGGGATGATATTGGTCACGGCGCTGGAAAGTGCCGATTTCCAGCATCTCCTCCTCTTCTGGATGGCCTTTCATGGTTGCGATGGCCAAGACAACAAGACGTTCGGAATATATCCAACTTGTGCCAAAAGTTGCCTCACTCAAGTCTTGACAATATTGACCGAAATGCTCCGGCTTGCCGTTTTCGACGTCGAAGAGCTAGAAAAGAGCGAAGCCCCGGCTTGGGAATGTAGCATGTGAACCAGACGAACGTGAGCGAGCGACGCTGATCGGCGTCAGCTGATCGGGGATGTTGAATGCGGTGAGACAAGACAGGCCAGGATTTTTGTCTCGTTCTTTTTTTTTCGATCCCCTTGTTCTCCTGTTTAACGAATTAAGTAATTAACGATTGGAAAAACGACGGGCAAAGTCGCGGTGGCAGAGGCGAACTGTCTAGGGTTGTTGTAGTTTGGGAGGCAGAATGTTGCTGCGCCAAATCGACGTGCATGTGAAGAAGCGGCACTGTTTTGGCAGTTCAGTGATTTCGAGAAACGAACGGAACGGCGGGAAACGAGAAACCTGTGCAACCACCCTAAGCAAGAAGCTGACGAGTTAAACCATAAAAACGAATGTACAGAGGTTATGCTATGACTGTTGAAAACAACGTCGCGATGGGGATGATCGCCCAGGTGCTTGGAGGAGGATGAGAAAGAAAGTAAAGTCGGAGCAATACGAGGAAGAATAAGAACTAAAGAAATAGGTACCTTGGTACGGAGTACTTGGCGTGAACGGAGTGCGGGCTGCGGACTAGGAGCCTGCGGGAAGGAACGACACAACAGTTTGGCTTCTAAACTTGGCTGGTATTAACGCATGGACGGGTTTGCCCCCCGAGCTGCGGTCGTTGCTAGTTCTTCGCATCCCGGCTGGACAGACAGATGCAGGGAGTACTCGGTACAGACTACGGACTATACAGGTCGCTCACTCTCAGCAGCAGATGTACTCGGTACATGCACGTGTGTACAGATGCAGGGTGAATGGCGAATCAAGCACAGCTGCGCATCTCTCCCACGGCAGGAGACAAGCTGATTGCCCCAACGCTCCTGCCTCTCTCTGCACCGTCTCCTATTATTGTGGTCTCCATCAGGGAGGAGTAGTTCTTGACCCGCTGTGCCTGGGTGAATTTGCCCGGAGCGTGACCAGGTGGGGATGGCTCCAGTGACGGACTGGATAATTCGGCTCAATCTTGGAAGCATGCAGGCCAAAACCCAAACAGAGCACTGTAACTACAAGAATACTTCTCCATCCATTCATCCAAACCGAGTTTAACGAAGTTACAAACAAACAAAAAAATGGCTCGAGTGTGGAGTAGGGGAGTGTGTATGATTGGGGGGTGGGGATGGGACAGGGCGTGTGCTCACCGGAGCCCCCACTTGGGTGTGTGTGCTTTTACATGTCCACTGCAGCAGGGCTTGTAATTGCACATGCCGTGATTTCAGTCAAACTCGGGGCCGTTGGGCAAGGCAAGGTGCTGCCTCAAGGCCTCTGGCCGCCTCAGTGAGCGTTTGCCTACACAGTACTGAGCTGAGCCGCCTCATGTGCTCAAAGCCCCGTGTTTCCATTTCGGCTTCTAAATATGTTCTGGGCTAGTTGGCCTGGCAAACCAACTCCTCGTACTCCGTACTTGGCCATATTCTCAGTGTTCTGCTATGCATGCATTTACTCCGTACCATACGTTGCAATGCAATACAACAATATACTAGTAATCCAATGTATGTGCAAAAACAGTGTCATGCTGTGATGAGCACGGGCCTCGGAAACGCGAAACCCTGGGATTCCAAGACCAGGCC